TGTCTTTGACCGTCATCCTGAAAAGTTGATGAAAGCAGAGTCCTTGAATATTTTTAAGGAAGACGCTGATAGATCCTTATTAATCAAGGGGTTGAAAGGTTATTGGGCATATGTGGGAACACGGATTTGAAGTTATAATCAGATTAACCATGATGTATTGAATGGAGTAACAGGTTTCCAAGAATCTGTGTAGGATCTCTCAATCCTCATCTCACGAGTCTTTGATGGATGCAATTTGAGCAATCAAACGCTTTATCTTGTTTTTTCTGTGACAAGGTCAGTGCTGCAGCCCAGGCAGTAGGTTTCATGTGAGTTCAAGGCATTATAGGTTGTACACTCATTATGTTGAGAGCAACATATTTTGTAATGTGGCTGACGCTATCAACAGAAAGGTGTTCCGTTTCATCAACTTACAAGTCATTTGTGATCATTGGTACCACATGTTAGAAATCTGCATCATGTACCTTGGAAGTGGCCATGATACCAACATTGTTGAGCACACTATATTCCTGATTGATTTCAAGGGATGGATGCCTTACAAGGACGGTAACCAGGGAACAAGCGCTACCATCTGCAACCACAGCTGATGACACCATCACACAAACCCCCTGACTGAGAGCAAGTATAGCCATTCACCTGCTAGGGCCATTGTGAAGCAGACGATAGGCCGTGAGGAGATGAAAATCCATGCTGGGCCTTTTGGTCTGGACAAGCTGTGGTACATAGGAAAATTTATGCTGGAGCAGTGGAAGAAGAGTCTGATGGACTCTGATGGATGTGTGGCAGCCATCTGAAGGTATTGAGCAAGAGTATCAACTCCTTCAACATGATATAGCACTGCAGCATCAAGCACTACTAAAGCAGGCAGGACTTAATTGACCTTCAGTTCCAATACACGTGAGATGGGTGCAATGATCACTCAATAAATGTAAATTTGTTGCTGCTGAAAAGGCAAGTGGTCACTATCTGTACACAGAAGCAAATTTTGCTTTTGTTTGGTTTCCATTACTTTTGCTGTTGCTTAATAAAAATGAAAGTTTTCAACCATTGAATGCTTTCCAGGATCTGATGGCTCCATATTGAACAATGAGAAGATGTAAGGCTACACTGGGCATTGGGAAAAGAGAAGCACTTCTTTAGACAGTGTGCTAAGATGGGACGATGCTAAGGATCGGTAACCTGTGTATTTTCATCCCTAAAAAGTAATACATTCATGGAATTTGCACTTATAGTTGCAATGAAAAGAAAATACAAACTATATTAAACTTGACCAGAAATATGGGAACAATCTAACTACAAATAACAGAAAGAACGATTAATCATTTTCATCTCAGCATTACTCTTGCAAGCACTGAAATCTGAGTGAAAAATCGCCCCTGTTCCCCATTAAAGTTTCTTGCTCAGTCAGCATAGCTGTAATCTATTTTCAATGTCCTTTCAGTAAATTTCTGTGCATTCACTCAGTGCTACTTTGTTAGGTTACCATCTCTTCCTGAGTGTCATAAAACAAAATGCTAACTCAGCTTACTTGTTACCTAACATGGGTTTCACAAACAAACGTTTTCACTAGCTTGGTAAGATGTCTTCCTCACTGACAACTCTACAACTTTCTGCTTCTCCAGTTTTCTTTTCACTTCTCCCTTGTTCTGACTGCTTCGAGACTGCTGATAACTGCACCTCTGCTGTTATCGATCTCTTATCCTTTCATAACCTGCTTCTGCACTCCCTTCTCTATCTCTGTGTTGTCAGCAAACACCTTAGCAATTATTGTCCCAAGTGACTTACTGGTAATTACCTATTGTTTAATCCTCCATCCTCCCCTCACAACATCTTCAGCACATATACCAACCTTTTCCTAGCTTCAATCATTTATGAAGAAGGGTCATTGGACCCAAAACATTAACTGCTTTCTCTCCACAGATTTGAGATTTTTCAGCAATTTCTGTTTTTGATCCTGATTTTCAACATCTGCATTTCTTTGTTTTTTAAAAACTGAAAGAACTGTGGATGCTGTAAATCAGGATTTTTTCTTCACAGATGCTGCCAGACCTGCTGAGCTTTTCCAGCAACTTCTGTTTTTGTTTGTTTAACATTCTAACAGGTTTGCACAGGTCAACGGAGGAACAGTGTTGCTGATGACTGGGAATTTAGAATCGGGGTCACAGTCTAAGGATGCAGAGTACGTCATTTAGGACAGAGATGAGGAGAAATTTCTTCACCAAGAGAGTGGTAAGCTTGTGGAATTCTCTTTCACAGAAAGCAGTTTAGGCTAAAACACTGAATGTTTTCAAGGACTTAGACATAGCTCTTAGGCTAAAGGGATCAAAGGGTCTGGGGAGAGAGCAGGAACCGGGTACTGAGTTGAATAATCAGCCATGATCATATTGAATGGCAAAGCAGGTTCAAAGTGCTGAACCACTCCCGCTCCCATTTTCTGTTTCTATGTTTTCAATATTTCTATTTCACCTTGCTACTTAAGAGGGAGAGAGATGGTAACCAGAAAATTACAGAGTTATTTTAACACCTATTATCAGCAAGTTATTAGAGTCTATAATTAAAGTGAATGACAAGTACTTTGAAATTTTCATCTGATCATATATAGCTTGCATGGATTTGTAAAGGACAGGTTATGCCTGCAAACTAATTGAATTTTTGAAGAGGTGGCTAATCTATTGATAAAGGATATCAAAATAAACACAAAAACTTTTGAAGTTGTATAATGATAAAGAGGATAATCAAGATTATTGTGGATCTATAGAAATTGGCCATGGTACTATTATTTATGAAAATCATAAAAGGGCAGTCATCTATCCGAGTTACTTTCTGTCTGTATTTACAATACAAAAAGAGGAAGGTGATTACGACATCCCAAGGAAACTAATATTTAACTGGGGAGGGTGGCTCACCAAAATTAACCTATGAAATCGGTTGGTAATGGACTTACCAGTACGGTCTTGGTAATGGATGTTTACATTCTCCGCCAGATACATTCTGTGCTAATAAAACAAAGAACTGTGGATTCTGAAGATCTGAAATAAAAACAAAAATTTCTGGTGAAATTTAGGTCTGGCAGCATCTGTGGGGAGAAATTAGAGTTAACGTTTTGAATCCAGTGACTCTTCATCAGAGCTGATGGTAGTTAGGAGAAAGTATGTTCGTACTTATGCTTACACTTGTGGAGTGGGAGTTGGTGGTGGTTGTAGTTGTGGAGAGGTGAGGGGATAGCTGGAGAATGAGCCCAGAGAGATAGATATGAAAAGCATAGGTAAACAATGGGATTACTGATAGTAGTCCAGAACAGAAGAGAAGCTGAATAAGTGATAATGAAAGTTGAGAGTAGGAGAGAATGTGGGTAGGCTGTGCTGAAAGAAATCTATGTCATGATAGAACTGGATGTGAGGGTGGGTAAAAATAATGGGAGGATGAAATCAGGCTCTAAAGTTAGAGTGCTGTACTCATTGTTATGCACAATCATGTGCACACTCGCAATCTCTCTCTCCATCAGCACAGCCTCATGCTGTCTAAGATCTTCTCTACCCACTGCCCCCTCCCTCCCAAGTTCCACTTCATTCTCTGTCTCATCTTGTTCTGACAAGAATTTTTTTCTCTTTCTTTCAGGAATGAGGAATATAAGCTGCCACAATTCAGAGATATGTATACCCCTCTGGAACATCCCACCCCTTCTCTCTGACTCCATTCTTTCTTCTAAGCCCACCTCTTGTCGATTATTTACTATCCCTTCTGACCTTCCACTCTCTGATGCTGAATGCTATATACTCAGCAAAATCTTAGCTTTATCCCTCTGCACCCCACTTCAATGAATTTTTAATTCCAGATTTATTAATAAGTTGAATTTTAATTCTCGCAGGTGCTGTGACAGGATTTGAATAAATGTCTCCAAAGCATTTGAATGGACCTCTGCATTACTGGTCCAGTAACAAATCACCACTTTGTTACCATTCCCTTTGGATGACATATGTATTTCCTGATTCTATTATCGAACATGTTCTAAATCCACTTCCCTATGCTTTGTCCTAAATAACCATGTGCAATACCACAGAATATTGATTATTATATACACTTATAAATAACAATAAATATGATGAATGATTTGCTACCAATATTTTCTTCGGAAGTTTTCATTCAAAGGTATTGTGCACCACTGCAGTGTTCATCTCAAGGTTTAAGATTTGATTTGAATCCATTCATATTGCTGTCTTCTTATCCAGGAGCTCATTATTCTTTATAACAATGAAAGTAGTGAATTACTAAATCCTGGTGATGACTGCTGGGAATGAATTGACCAGCGCAGTATTTTTCTTGGTAATCCTTGCTTTACTTAATCAGTAACACTATTGCTCAGAATAGAAACAGATGAACTGGTTATTCAATAGATTGATTTTGCTTTGTACAAGTTGACTCCTATCTAAAAAATCAAATTACTCAAGTTCAAAACAATTCACAGTGTGAGTATTTTCGGATCCGTTTGGAAGGAATTTAAACAGAGCAAGGTGCAGTTTTATACTTACATTTTTTTTTATAAATCCTTGCACCTGTTGACATATTTCCTGTACTTTCTAGAATACGCTTCTTAAAAGCTGGAACCTAGTTAGCATAGCACATCCTTTCTAAATTCACCAATTCTGTACACAAGATAGCCTATGTGATATTCTGCGGGCAGCAAGGAAAGGAAACAGAAAGATTCAGTGTTTTGTTTTGGTCGGGAAAGTGGGATGGCAAATAAACACCTTGAAATAACTGCAATAAAATGAGCACGGAAAATAATAGTTCAACATTATCAATTTAGGTGGATTGGCGTGCTGATTTTAAAAAAAAACTTCGGAGAATTAGAAAAAATAAATCAGGCGAATTAACAGAATTGTTGATGGTAGAGAGACCGTTTGTTTTCTGAGATATTGAAGACCACTGGATGTTGCGAAGGGTCAATCAGAAAATTTTGTTGCACAAAGGGGGAGGGAAAGAGGTAAATAGAGAGTCGCCATATTGTCGAGTGTGGGCTGGGGGTGGGAAGAGTGAGGAGGAAGGAGGAGCTCCTCTGGTGAGGCTGGAGATACCGGACTACAATATAATTATAAATCAGTGTGAGGTTGTGGAGGCGACGGGAGCAGGAATTGGGCTATGAAAGGAGTTCTTTTGGCCGCTGCCGCTATGCAGGAGACTTTCGGTTGCGCTGTCACTAATCGCTTCGACCAGCTGCTGGATGATGAGTCCGACCCGTTCGACATCCTGCGGGAGGCCGAGGAGAAGAAGCAGAAGAAGAAGAAAGAGGAAGGAGGCCGCAAAACCAGAGCCGGGAGTGGGGCCTCGGGCAGCTCGGCGGCATCAACCGCTGGTGCCGCGTACGCCTCGGCTTCGAACTCGACCAAAGCCGGCAGGAGAGAATCTCAAAAAGCCCGGAAAATCCCGGCGGGCGTCGAGGCCGGTAACAGGCCCGGGGGAACATCCAGCACCGAAAATGTCTTCCTTGGAGGAGGAGGACAGCGGAGAGAAGGTCGGTACCTAATGCAGCTCTGCACCACCTCGGCGTGGAGAGACCCTCTCCACCTTCCCTAAATATTTAAAATAACCCGGGGGATGGTGCGCTAACCTTCACTCTAAATACTGGGATGAAACTTATGCTGATTTCAAACGTGTAGCATCAATGAGGAGGGCCCGGTGTAGCCCCAGGTTTAATTTCTAATGTACTACAACAACAGTACGCACGTGGTATGTGTCAAATGCAGCGATCAGTGATGTCCTGCAAAGTGGGAATTTATTAATAAACCTGCGAGTGTGAACCGACCTGGTGATGGAGGTGAGAGCCTAGCCCCGGAGGAGGGTGGATACTGTGACCGAAGGGGCTGTGTACTGCTTTAAACTGGGCTACACTTCTATCCGTACCGGATTGGGGGGGCGGGGGGGAAGGATGAGATCCTGGCCAGAGAGAATGGAGGTTACTGCAGGTGTAGCTGTCACTTCATACTGTAAATCTGGAATTGGCATAGAATTTTCTTGGGACTCAAGGAGATCTGGTCTAGTTTGGCCTTTAAATTGTAGGTCAGCATAATGTACTTTTTCGGGAGACGGTTACCTTCCTTACATCGCGTTTTATTGAGTTATCATTTTTGCAAGTATTTTATAATCAACATTCACAGGTGTAGATTTTTGTACCCCAACTGGGTGAAGATCCTTGATGCATATAAAACGTGGACAAACTGTCTCCACAACCACACATTTGGGGAACTGGACTTTTCGGATCGCAAGACTCTGCTGTAACTTCAAATTGCTGTTTTATTAAATCCAACAGTTTTTTTTTGAACACTTAGGAAATCTACACATCATCTATGAATTGTAGAGGAGGGAAAATTCATCACGCAGTCATGTTACTGCAGTGAGTAGTATATGATGTGAAGAGAATAAAGGAGTCAGAGTCATACAGCATGGAAATGGACCCTTCGCTCCAACCAGTCCGTGCCGAACATAATTCCAAATTAAACTAGTCCCACCTACCTGTTTATGGTCCATATTCCTCCAAATCTTACATGTTCATGCACTTTATGGAAATGTATTCCAAATTCTGTTCATCTGTTTTTGAATTTAATGTAGAAGTGTTCACTTTCCTTTAAATTAGTATGTACATTACTTTTTGAGGCATGCTAGTGTTTGGCTGTTTTAGGTGGGACACAATTTTATATGGGTGCATATTTATGTTTGTATATATTTTTAACCATCTTCTATTCCTCTCTTGAATATGTTGATCCTTGGCTGCAGCTTTGTTTCATTGAATCAGTCATTCAGCAGAGAGAACCAATTGAATCTGGCAACCCCCTAACTTGAGACATCTAGGTAGGTTGCTAAGCCTCCTATCTTTAAGTAAATCATCCAGTGGTTGTTGAGGCAGTGACAAAATGGGAAGAAGTTTTCTTTTCTTTATTCACAAGATGTGGGCTTTGCAGTCTAGGTTTTTTACTTATTGCTTGCCCAAGCATCTTTTTTTTTTGACTTGAGGATCCTGCAGCCTTCAGGACTAGTCAGCACTGAAACAGATCCTTCAGTCCAGCCATTCCATGCCAACCATTATCCCAAATTAAACTACTCCCACCTGCATGCTTCTGGCCCATATCCCTCCAAACCTTTCCTATTCATGTACTTATCCAAATGTCTTTTAAAGTTGTAATTGTACTCGCACCCATCACTTCCTCAGGAAGTTCTTTCTACACACAAACCACCCTCTGTGTAAAAAGGCCTACTCCTCATGTCTTTTTTAAATCTATCTCCTCTCACCTTAAAAATGTGCCCCCTAGTCTTGAAATACCCCATCCTAGGGAAAAGACAACTACCATTAACACTATCTATATCCCTCATTATTTTATAAACTTCTATAAAGTTGCTTCTTAACCTCCTACGTTGCAGTGAAAAAGTCCCAGCCTTTGTTTATAACTCAAACCTTCCTTACCTGACAACATCCTGGTAAATCTCTTCTGAACCCTCTCCAGCTTAATAAAATCCTTATAATTGGGTGATGAAAACTTGACACAGTATTCCAACATCAGTACAACCACAGCATGACTTCCTAACTCCTATACTCAAAGGACTAAGCAATGAAGGTAAGTATGCCAAATGCCCTTTTAACCACCCTGTCTGTAAGAATTATCTACCTGTACCTCTAGGTCCCTCTGTTCTACAACACTACCCAAGGCCTACCTAAGCCCTACCCTTGTTTGTTGTACCAAAATACAATACCTCACATTTATCCAGATTGAACTCCATTTGCCATTTTTCAGCCCATTGACTCATTTAATCAACTTCCCTTTGTAATCTTAGAAAACCTTCTTCACTGTCTGTTCTGCCACCAATTTTGGTGTCGTCCACAAACTTACTAACCATGCCTTCTGTATTCTCATCCAAATCTTTTATTTAAATATCAACAAAAGAGGACCCAGAATACCGAGTTCAATAATTTTAGTGCCTGAGCACCACCTTCCACATACTTCCGCATCCCCACACGGGCTTCTACCACAGCTAACTCATTTTCAATGGCAAATGGTCCCTGTTAGCAGCTTTTCTTTCTCCCAGGGGCTCACCGTTGTCCGTTTGTCTGCCCAGCTGTTGTTTTCCTGGTTTCTTTTTAATTAATATAGAATAGCTGTCCTCTTCAATTTTACTGTCAGTTTTTTGCATCGTTTTGATTGATCACTACTTAAAGCAGACTCCCTTGAATGACCCCTTCCAAGGTTTCATCAGCATAATACAAAATAAAATCCAGCAGTGCTGGGGATAAATAGTATTATAAGCATGTGACATACACCGAGAAGTAAATGCTTTTGGACAATGGCCTTCTAACAACATGGAAGAATTTGAAGACGTAACGAGCCTTAAACAAGCGCAGAGATAGGCGGGGATAAGGTAACCAGAGTTTGAAAGCGAGATTCTGAGGAAGGGTCACTGGACTTGAAAGTTAATTCTGCTTTTCGTACACAAATAATGCCAGACCTACTCAGTTGCTCCAGCAATTTCTGTTTTTGTTTCAAATTGCTGGCACCCACAGCTTTTTTTGTTTTACATAATGCAAGTTTTTTTTTGTTTTATAGTACTTTTCCTGATCAAAGTATCTCAAAATAATTAAGTACTTATTTGAAGTGTGGTCATTGTTGTAGGAAATGCAGCAGCCAATGTGCACATTTCATCACGTTGCTGATTTGAGAGTTTGCTTTGTGTTTTCTGATGTTGATTTGAGGGTTAGATATTGCTGAAGACCAGCAGTAAGTTCCCTGCTCTTTGAAATAGTTTCTTGGATTCTTAGAATAACCAGAGCAGACAAATGGGACCTGGGTTTGTTGTCTCTTCCAAAAAATGCCTGATCCAACTCCCAGTCTGTCCTTTCGGTCCTTCGTGTCCTATGTTGTTCATTGATGCTTAATAGATGTTTGAGGAATAGTGCCTCTTTTTGACTAGCACTTTTTATTGACTCAGTACTGTGTTCAGTTTTATTTCTTCCATTGCGTATCTTGTTGCCTTGCACAATAATTCCTTTTAATTTTTCCCGCTGTCCATTTCATTGACCAACCTTCTCTCCCCTCTGTTAGCTTGAACCCTATTACATCAATAACCTTTCCAGTTTTGATAAAAGGTCATTGATCTGTATTATTAAACTTTGTCTTTTCCTCCTAAGATGCTGCCTGACCAGCTGAGTATTCCCAGCCTTTTCTGCTTCTGTTCCATCAGTACATTGCTGCTTTACATCCACTACTATGTGATACATGATAACAGTTTGAATAATAACTTCTTACAGCACTGTCTTTAAATTTGGGAGTTCTGCAAAACAGTAATTAAATGGTGACATTACTCAGGATGCTGATTCGTTATTAATCGGTTTAAAGCAGAGTGAAATTAACATTACAAGATGACCAAAAGTGGAGGTGTAGTGGACAGAGAGGAAGGTTACTTCAAAGTACAATGGGATCTTGATGAGATGGGCCAATGGGCCAAGGTGTGACAGATGGAGTTTAATTTAGATAAATGTGAGGTGCTGCATTTTGGAAAGGTGTATCAGGGCAGAGCTTACACACTTAATGGTAAGGTCCTGGGGAGTGTTGCTGAACAAAGAGATGCAGGTTCATAGTTCCTCAAAAGTGGAGTTGCAGTTAGATAGGATAACGAAGAAGGCAGTTGTATGCTTTCCTTTATTAGTCAGTGCATTGAGTATAGGAATTGGGAGGCATGTTGCAGCTGAACAGGACATTGTTTAGGCCACTTTAGGAATACTGCGTACAATTCTGGTCACCCTGCTATAGGAAGGATGTTGTTAAACTTGAAAGGGTTCAGAAAGTATTTACAAGGATGTTGCTAAGGTTGGCGGGTTTAAGCGATAGGGAGAGGCTGAATAGGCCTGGGGCTATTTTCTCTGGAGCGTCCGAGGCTGAGCAGTAACCCTAAAGAGGTTTATAAAAATCATGAGGGGCATGGACAGTGTAAATGAGCAAGGTCTTTTACTGGGGTTGGGGTCTCAAAAACTATAGGGCATAGGTTTAAGGTGAGGGGAAAGGCTTAAATGTTGCCCCTTAGGTCCCTTTTTCGTGCAGAGGGTAGTGCTGCCAGAGGAAGTGTTGGAGGCTGGTACAAATACAACATTTAAAAGGCATCTGAATGGGTATACGAATGGGAAGAGTTTAGAGGGTTATGGGCCAAATGTTGGCAAATGGGATTCGATTTATCTAGGATATCTGATCGGCATGGACGAGTTGGACCGAAAGGTCTGTTTCTGTGTTGTACATCTCTCTGACTTTGAGTGAGCAGACTGGGATTGTTTTCTGGTATATTGACTTTGTGCCCTAAATCGTCCGTATAAAAGATTGTGGCGCCTGATACATTGTTGAATTTTACCAACTGGTTAGTTATTTTATTTGCTTTTTAAATAGATTTTGTGTTTTTATTTTGTTTTAATCTAACGGGACATTCTGGAAAAAAGAGAATAAAATAATTCCAATGCATTTTGAACTTTAGGCTATGGAATGCACTGCTTGGAAATGTGGTAGAGGCACGTTCACGTGAGACATTCAAGAGGTTATTGAATGATTATTTGGATAGAAATGGTGTTCAGGGATATGGAGAAAAGGCAGAGGATTGGTATTAGATAGTAGAACCAGTGCAGACACAATGGGCTAATTGGCCCCTCTGCACCAAAACAATTATGTAATGCATGATCCTTTTTGAAGATTGTTAGCCTTGCGACTCAGTACTTATTTTATTGAGTAAACTATGCAGCTCAGATACAGTACTATGTGAACATATGCAAATTTTGGCAGCTCAGAAAATTGGACAGATGTTTGTTTTTTTTCTTTTATTAAACAAAAGCACTGACTTAAAGAATATAAGAAGTGAGTTTCTATGAAGACTTTTTAAAAAAGATGAGTTAAAAGTGTCAACAGAGGAAGTGAGTCCAGATGAATCGAACCGGTATTTTGTATCAGTATTCACTATAGAGGATGCAAGTACTATCCCAGAAGCAGCTATAAATCAGAAACAGAATGCAGGGAGGAGCTCAGGAAAATTACTTTCGCCAGCACAGTGGTGCTGAGTAGACTTTTGGAGCTGCAGCTGACAAGTACCTAGGTCATGATGGACTTCATTGTAGGGTTGGAGTATGAGTAGTGAAGTCTTGCAGCAACTGTACAAAGTGCTGGGGAGAGCACATCAGGAGTACTATGATCAGTTTTAGTACCTGTATTTAAGGAAACATATTGTTTCATTTGGAGGCAGTTCAGAGAAGATACGCTAGGATGATCCCTGATTTGGAGGGATTTTCTTATGAACGAAGGCTAAGTAAGTTGAGACTCTACTCACTGAGATTTAGAAGGAGGAGAGGTGATCTCTTTAAACATATAGGGTAAATGCTGAGAGGATATTTCCCCTCATGGGAGAGTCAAGGACCAGAGGGCCTAGTCTCGGAATAAAAGGGCACCAATCTAAGATTGAAATGAGGAGGAATTTCTTATGAGGTTTGAGAATCCTTGGAGTTCCTTGCCACAGAGAGCTGTGGGGGCAGAGTCCTTGCTTGTGTTTAAGGCTGAACAGATCTTTGATCACTGCAGAATCGAGTGTTAAGGGGAACATGCAAGAAAGTGGATGTGCGGTATGTTAGATCAGCTATGAACCTATTGAAGAGCAGAACAGGTTCGAGGGGCCAAATGTTGTTCTTTCTTTTTATAATGGCATGGTATGTCAGGTACGATGGTCAGATTCTCTCTTGTTGGAGATGGGAATTGCTCAGCACTTTTGTGGCGTGAATATTTCTTGCCACTTTTCAGCCCAGACCTGTATATTATCTGGGTCTTGCTGCATTTGGATATGGAGTGTTCCAGAATCTGAGGGGTTGCAAATGATGCTGAACATTATGCAGTCATCAATAAACATCCCTTCTTCTGACCTTATGATGGAGGTAAGGTTAGTGATGAAACAGCTAAAGGTTGTTAGGACTAGGACACCAAGCTGAAGAACTGCAAAGATGGCCTGGAATTGAAATGACTGACCTCCAACTACCACAACCATCATGCTTTGAACCAGTTATGTTTCCAAATAGTGGAGGGTTCCCCCCTTCACCCGATTCTTGTTGACTCCAGTTTTGCTAGGGCTCCTAGATGGCATGTGGCCTTGATATCAAGGGCAGTCACTCTCAACTCACCTCTGGAATTTAGCTCTTTTGTCCATGTTTGAACCAAAGCTGTAATGAGGTCAAGAGCTGAGTGGCTTGGCTGAACTCGAGTTATTTGATAAGGTGCCACTTCAAAGATTATTGCAGAATTAAAAGTGAATGGTGCTGGTGTTGGCATACTGGCATGGATGGTAGATTAGCTGGCTAACAGGCAGCAGACAGTAGGCTTCAGTAGGTTTTTTTTCAGGTTGGCAAAATGTGATGAGTAGTAGCCACAGTGCATTGGGATCTCCACTTTTTGTAATTTTTATGTAAATTACCTAGATGCAGCTCCTTCCTGAAAAAGTAGTAGAAGCACAGTTCTTGAATATTTTTAAGGCAGAAGTGGATAAATTATTGGTAACCTTAACTCCCCTTGCTTAACAGGAATAAGGTTACAATCTGATCAGCTGTGATCTTATTAAATGTTGGTGCAGGCTTGAGGGGCCAAATTGCTGCCTTCTGCATTTGGTTCATATGTAAAATCCTCTATACAGGCTAATATGACTTCAATAAGGCAGTAGCATCATGCTAGAATTCGAAAAGTTCCACAGAGTAGCGCTGAAAATATAGTTTGCATTTTACTTAAAAAAAAAAGACACGCAATCAAAACCTGGGGTGGCACGGTAGCTCACTGGTTAGCACTGCTCCCTCGCAGCACCAGGGACCCAGGTTCAATTCCACCCTCAGGCGATTGTCTGTCTGGGGTTTGCATATTCTCCCTGTGTCAGCATGTATATTCTCCAGGTGCTCTGATTTCCTTGCCCAGTCAAAAAATGAGCTGGTTAGGTGGTTTGGCCATGCTAAATTGTCCATAGCATCCAGGGATGTGCAGGCTAGTGAATTAGTAATGGGAAATACAGGGTTACAGGCATAGGATGGGGGTGTGGGTCTGGATGGGATGCTGTTTGGAAGGTTGGTGTGGACTTGATGGGCCAAATGGCCTGCTTCCACAGTGGGGATTCAATGATTCTAAAAGCAAAATGTTTGGCTACATCCAAAAATGAGTGACTACACTTCAAAGTACCTGTTTTGGAACATCTTCTGGTAATGAAAGGCACGGTAATGCAAGTCTTGCTTTTCACACTTTTCTTTTCAGACCTTATCTTTGAACCTGCTTATACTTCCTTAATGTTTTGTATATGTTTAACTTGTATTTCATTTAGGCCCAAAGAGGGGCCCAAAAAGGGCAGAATTGCGAGGACAGAATGAGAACCAAGATATTGAAAGGAAAACTGAAAGACCAGAACGTAGAGTTGTATTCCGAGAACGGCGCCCAAATGAAACTGAAGGAGCTACTGAATTTTCATTAGAAGCGTAAGATTTAAGTCTCTGTGGAATTTGTTTTGCTCTAGGTAATTTTGCAATCATGTTTTCTGCAAATTTGTTTTTAACATTGACACAGGTGGGCTATAGGTGAGGGAAATTGGGAGGATTCTTAGATTTTTTTGTAATATACTGTAAAGTGGTTTCATTTTCCTTTTGCACTTGTAACAGTTTCTGTAATATTTAATTTTCTCATTCTGGCACCCATGTAACATTCCTCAATTCCTCAATTCATCATTTTGTAACCAATAATGGTCTGTCAATATTGACATATCAACCATGTTTGGCATACGTTTCTTTAACCTTCTGTCTGTCCATCTGTCCTTCCTTCCCACCTCCATGAATTGAGCTAAATGATTAGGGTTGTTTGGTTTTCAGTCATTGAATATGTCAAATTTGAATTTTATTAGCCAGGATATGTATTGATATTTTGTGGATTGTGAGCTTTCTTTTGACAATTGTGGCCTTTTGTTTGAAAGGATGCTTGCATTTTTTAAAAATGTTGTTCAAGATATTTAACAAGATGTTGCCGAGTATGGAAGGTTTGAGTTATAAAGGAAGGCTGAATAGGCTGTGACATTTTTCATTGGAGTGTGGGAGGTTGAGAGGTGACCTTGTACAAATTAATAAAATAATGAGAGCTATAGATAGAGTTTATAGTAGTTGTCCTTTCCCTAGGATGGGGGATTTCAAGATTAGGAGGCACATTTTTTAAGGATATAGGCCAGGAGCAGACAGCTGTTACTAGTTTAGTTTGGCATTATGTTTGGCATGGACTGATTGGATTGCAGAGTCTGTTTCTGTGCTGTATGACTCTATATTACTGGTTTTTGGGATTCAGTTTCTGATTTCTCATTTTGGTGAAAACTGGTAACAATCTTGTTGAGTATAAATTGTTTTCTTTTGTTCTTCTTTGGATGTGGGCATTGTTGACCAAGCCAGCATTTATTATCCATTGCTAATTGCCCTGTCTTAACCTGTTTCGGTTCCTGAGGTGGAGGTACACCTGAAAAACTGCTAGGAAGGGAGTTCCAGGATTTTGACTCAGTGAAAATGAAGAAATGATGATTTGTAGTTCCAAGTCAGGGAGGGGCGGGGAGAACTTTACAGGTGGTGGTGATCTTGTTCTTGCGCATCTGCTACCCTTGAACTTCCAGGTGGTAGGGATTGTGGTTTGGCATGTGCTGTCACGAGCTTTGGTGAGTTATTGCAATGTATTTTGTAGATGGTATACAGAGCTGCTACTGTGTTTTGGTGATGAAGGCAATGAAGTTGAAGGAGGTGGATGGGGTGTCAGTCAAGCTGGCTCCTTTGCTCTGGTTGATGTTGAACTTCTTGAAGGTTGTTTGAGTTGCACTCTTCCAGGAAATTACTCATTCCAGTATTCCATAACACTGTTGTGCCTTATGGGTGGAAAAAGGGGCCCAGCCTCTGATCTGCTCTTGTAGCTGCAGTATTGTTCAGGATGTGGATAATGGGGAATTCAGTGATGGTAATGCCATTGAATGTCTAGGTGTGATGTTGCACAAATATTACTTGCCACTTAACAAACTAAGCTTGGAAGTTGTCTGTCTTGTTGCCTATGAGCACTGCTTCATTTATCTGAGGAGTTGCAAATGGTGCTGAACATTGTGCAATCTTCAGCAAGTAATCCCCCTTGTGACGTTATGGAGGGAAATTCATTTGAAGCAACTGAAGAAGTTTGGGCCTGAGGCACTACCCTGAAGCATTTCTACAGTGATGTCCTGGGACTGAGATGGTTGAGCTCCAGTTACCATGAACTCATTGACTGCAATTTTAATAGGCTCTTTGGTGCAATACCCAGTCAAATTCTGCTTTGGTATCAAGCATCGTCACTGTCATCTCACCACCTGGATTTCAACTCTCCTGTCCATGTTTGGACCAAGGCTACATTGGGTTCAGCGGCTGTGTGGCCTTGGCAAAACCCAAGCTGAGCATCTGTAAGTAGGTTATTGTTAAACAAATGTTACTTGATAACACCTAATGACTCCTGACATCACTTTGATCTGGCTAAATCGGATTTTCATTGCTTTCTTTACACAGGACATTTCGGGGCAAATTTCATTGTTGCTGAATAGATGTCAGTGTTGTCACTGTGCTGGAACAGCTTAGTTAGGGATGCGGCTAGTTTTGGAGCACCAGTCTTCAGTACCAATCCCGGAATGTTGTCAGGGTATATAGACATTGCGGTTTCTAGTTTCTTCAGTTGCGCAGCTTGATTTTTGAAAAAGGAAGGAGACAAAAAAATCGGTAACCATAGGCCAGTCAGCTTAATGTCTATGGTTGGGGAAATGTTCGAGTCCATTCTAGAGAGTGCAATAGCAGAGCATTCAGAAATGCATAATATCATCAAGCAGAGTCAGCATGGCTTCATGAAAGGGAAATTTATGCCTGACAAATCTAATACAAACAGTGTATATAAAGAGGAATGTGGATATTTCAGAAGGTGTTCGATAAGAAATCACACATTAGGGTACTTAATAAGATAGGAGCCTATGATATTGAAGCTAGAATGTTAATGTAGTTAGAAAATTGCCAAACGCTGAAGACAGAGTTGGGAAAAGAGGGAATTTTCAGGATGCCAACCTATAACTAGTGCCACAATTATTTATAATTTTTAATTAATGACTTAGGTGAAGAAAGTGATTGTTAGCCAAGTTTGCGGATGACTCCAATATGTGGAAAGGCAAGTGGTGAGGATGACAGTGCAGGGGATTGTAAACAGGTATGTGAGTGGGCAAAAACTTGACAAATATAACGTGGGAAAATGTGAGGTTATGTACTTTGGCAGGATGAATAAAGAAGCCGAATATTATTTAAATGGAGACACTTCAGAAACCTGTGGTGCGGAGGGATTTGGCAGTCCTTGTATGAATTACAAAAACCTAACAATTAAGTTTAGCGGGTAATTGGGAAGGCAGGTGGAATGTTGCCATTTTATTTTAAATGTAATGGAGTATGAAAGGATGGAGGTTTTGCTAAATTACACTGGGCATTAGTAGAATACAGAGAACCGTTTTGGGCCCCTTTTATCTAGGCAAAGACATAACTGGCATGGAGGTAAGGTTTGATACCAGGAATGCAGAGACTGTCTTGTGAAGAGAAATTGAGTTGATTGGACCTGTACTGATTGGAATTTAGAAGAATTAGAGGGGACCTTATTGAAACAATCAAGATTTTTAGGAGATTTGACCAGGCAAATGTGACAGGTTGTCTCCTCTTGTGGGAGAGTCTAGGACCAGAGGACGTAATCTCAGAATAAAGGGTCACACTTAAGGCAGCGATAAGGAGGAATCTCTTCTGAGGGTAAAGAACCTGAGGAATTCTTTACTGCAGAGCGGTATCAAGGCTGGGTGGGTTGTTATATATTTTTAAGGCTGAGACAGAGGACAGTAAGAGATACCAGAGTTGTGGCAAAGGCAAGTAGTGGAGTTGAGGACTGATTTGACAGCTGTGACTTAGTTGAGCAGACTTCTTGGGTTGAATGGCCTACTCTGTTCCTTTGTCTAATGGTCTTCTCACTTAAAGTGAATTGAAATGGCTGAAGAGTGGAATCAGTGCAGGGCACATCGGACATCCTGACAGCACCTTTTGGCTGAAGATGGAGACACATGTATCAGTCTTTTGTATTGATGTGTTGGATTTCTCTGTCATTGAGGATGGATACATTTTATGGAGTCTCCTCTTCCTGTTAGTTTTAATTTTGCACCACCATTCACGACTGGATGTGGCAGGATTACACCGCTTCAATCCAATCCTTTGGACCACTTATCTCTGATTGTCATGTGCTGCTTCTGCTGTTTAGCTTGCAGCTAGTCTTGTAACCCCCAGGGTAACGCCTTTTTTTAGATATGCTTAGTGCTGCTCCTGGCATGCCTTCCTGCACTTTTAAATGTCCCAAAGTTGATTCCACAGCTTGATGCTAATAGTAGAGCTGGGGGTTGCAGATTGTAGTTGAATACAGTTCTGCTGGTTGCCCACAGTACCTCTTGCATGCCCAACTTTAAGTTGCTGGATCTGTTCAAAGACTGTCCAATTTAGCACAGTGGCAATGGCATGTAACATTGAGGATCTCTTCAGTTTGATGACAAGAGATTTCCTCCACAAGTGTGGTGGCCACATCTACCTGTATTGTAATGGCTGGGCATCCCTGGGTTGTTGAGGGAAAGGTAGAGCAGATTTTTCTCTTGCCACCTGGGACAGACTCTGTCTAGCAGGTGTACTGTTCTGGACTTGATCAGATTAGTAGTGGTGCAATTGAGCATGTTGAAGTCCCCCACCCAGTGTTTATTCTGTACCCTTGCTACCCATGGTGCTTCTTCCAAATGGAGTTCAATGTGGTGGAGTGGTCATTAATAAGGTGGGTGTGATGGGTAGGAATATGAATGATTGATTTGTCCGTATTTAATTTGATGCTATGGGATTTGGCACCAATGTTGAGGTCTACCAAGGTGACTGCTGCCTGACTGTATACTGCTGTGCCATCACCACTATGCTGCTGGTGGTACAAGACATATCCATATGTGGGCATGTCTAGCATGTCGTCAATAAGGTATGATTTTGTGAACCTGACAATATCAGACTGTTGCTTGACTCAGCTAATTTTGGCACAAGCCCCAGATGTTGATAAAGAGGAATTTGCTGGGTTGATGGTTGGACCTATCATCGTTTGTTTGCCACCAAGATTGATGGCAGGTTATCCATCTGGTTTTATTCTCTGCTTTATACTTTCTGGCTGTTTTGATACAACTGACTGCCAGTTTGGAGGGTATTTAAAGTCAGTCACATCACTCTGAGTCTGGTGTCATACGTAGGCCAGTGTAGGAAAGCATAGAAGATTTCTTTCTCAAAAGGACATTAGTGAAGCAGATCGATCTTGATTATACGCGATGGCTACATGGCTGCTCTCAGACTAGCTCTCTAATTACAGGTTTTTGGTTTTCAGTTTAGATTTTCCCCATTCGCTATCATGGGATTCAAACTTGTATCCCCAATGCATTAGCTGGGATTCTGGAAGATGATTCTGGTGATAATGCCATTACGCCACTATGTATAACATTCATAATTCTGAAATAATATATTTAAAAGATAAATGCCTAATCTTATCACTCAGTCATCTTCCATGACTGCTCCAACCAACAGTATGTAGTTGGGTCATGGAGAACAGAATGTCCTGGTTTTGATCTCTCGACTTGTATTGAGGTAACTATTGTATTACCATATGCTCTGTACTTCTGCACGCAATAGGAAATAACTGTTCACTATCCAGTCATCCTTGCTGAAACTATATCTATCTGATGTCTGACGAAAACGTTGTATCTCTTATGCCCCCATTTAAGAACTAATTCCTCGTTCAAGGTAACTTTCTAAAAGTTGAAAGCAGCGCAGTGTCCTTCTGATCTTTTTGATATTTTTTGAATGAAACAGAAAAAGCCTTTAACTTAACTAATATGGTTTACACATATCAAGGGTAGGTAAGCTTCAGTATGTTGTTTATTAAGACCTTCTGAATTAGGGATTACTTTTTTAATGTGTTTTAGTATGTGCATTGTATATCTTAAATCAAATATAGTTAAGACTAGGAACTTGCTCTTGGTATTATTGCTCCTGCTCTTTCATCAGTTACGCCAGGAATCAATAGGAGTTAAATGCCAGAAAGGGAGACAGGTGTTCTTTGAGGTACTGTGTGTACTGCCAGCAGAACTAGCTGCTTTTTAGCTTGTGTTTTGTTTGAGGCCTGGGCCATGGACAATTATTGAATTGGTCCATGGTTATGGGCAAAGTACTGCAGAGATTTGTAGATGCTTTCTGCAGGATAGCTAACTGAGAGACTTGCTTGATTTTATTGCCTGCCATCAGGGTGTTGAAACAATTTTCAGGTTGAGATTCAAACTTTAGTTAAATTCTGTTTGCACCTTCCGTCATCAACAAATCCTGTCATTGGTCTTGAACTTGACCTATGACCCAGATGCTACCACTGTGCTACAAGACATGTGAACTGGCCAAGAAGGCCTAAAACTTCAAATTGTGTAAATTGCTCAGATGTGTTAAAGAGCTGGATGTTTTCCTGGAAGCAGCCAATCATGAATCTGGATGGCATTGGTTAATCAGTTGCAAAGAAACTCTGGAAAGCTACACTGCTGGGCTCTTTGTGAAAAATGGAGAGAGGAATCACAGAAGTATGCCTTGTTAATGGCCATCATTTTGGGAAACTTGCAGGTGAAAGCTGTTGTCATACAGCTCTCCTGACAAAATGAAGAGTAGCATTTTGTAGAAATATGTAGTGATATTTTGCCACATTTTTGTAGTCTGATGACTATGCTTGTTGCATTTACTCTACTGATTATCTAAAGTGAAATGTTTGTTCTTATGACCCAGAAGGTGGGGAGGTGATGGCCTAGTGGTATTATTGCTGGACGGTTAATCCAGAGACCCAGACGATGTTCTGGGGACCTGGGGTTCGAATGCCGCCATGGCAGATGGTGGAATTTGAATTCAATAAAATATCTGGAATTAAGAATCTAATGATGACCATGAATCCATTGTTGATTGTTGGGAAAAACCCACCTGGTTCACTAATGTCCTTCAGGGAAGGAAACTGCCATCCTTACCTGGTCCGGCCCTACATGTGACTCCAGATCCACAACAATGTGGTTGACTCTTCACTGCCCTCTGGGCAATTAGGGAAGGGCAATAAGTGCTGGCCTAGCCAGTGACAACCACATCCCATGAACGAATAAAGAAAAAAAAATGTATTTCCCTGTTAACATGTAATTTGCATTCACATAAAAAAACTACAAAGTGTGAAATCTTGGTAACTTCATATTCGGGGTCATTCAGCCAGTTTTGTAAATATTGCACAAACATCTGCATCATCAGCTTACTGGCCCACCCTTGGGGATTTTTTTAGCCCAACCAATGTCAGAGTGGAGCAGATGTCACTAGAGGGATGTGGGTGAGAAGAACTAAGTGTTTTACACCGGTATAAATAAATCTGGGTACAAAATAATCTAGGCATTTAGCAAACAAGTCTGAACAAGATGGAGCAACAGCCTCTGTAGAACCATTAATAGAATAGTAGACTCCCTACAGTGCAGAAAGAGAGGCCTATGAAGTATGTACTGATCCTCCAAAGAGCAATAGCAGCAAACATTTTGCTTTCACCATTATTGGAACCAAACATCTGAGCAATCTTTTTGGAACACCTCTTTTCTCCACAAATGCTATTAGTGGAGGTGCACAACTCATTGATTCATTTTGAGTAGCTCTATGGGAGAAGTGTCAAATTTTCTTATTGGTTTGTGCAATTTATTTCATGAATCACGTAAATCTATGTAAGATGAGCTTATCTTCCAAACCCCCTCTGTCCATAAAAGCTTTTTACTATGATTTGTGCATTTTAATAATGTAAGTCTAACTTTAAGTGATTTTTAAAGAAACAATATGTAACCAATATTGATTGCAATGATCTTTTTCTTTTTGGTGTGTAGACCAATTGACAGGGTGGACAGACCAATAAAAGGCCGTGGAGGTGGCAGAGGACGTGGAAGAGGACGAGGTGGATTTCCCAGGAGTGTTGATGGATTTGATCCAAGAGGAAAACGAGAATTTGAAAGGCATAGCGGAAATGACAAAGTGTGAGTTTCTTGAACAGTACAATAAGTAAATTGAAGTGGAAATGCTGTAGAAATCACAATATATTGAGCAAGTGATATATTTTACAAGCACATAATGCAACTGAGTTATGATCAAATTTGAATGGAGAGAACCTACCTCAACGTGGTGTTCTTCTTGAAAGAACGGGGATTTCCAAATGTAATCATTTTCAGTGGTAGCCTGGTGTTGTCTTGATAATCATTGGTTAAATTTCAAGGCATTTGTTTCCAAATAAGTGTTGAAATGAAATGGTGAAATGAAGAACACATGTATTAGCTGGTAGGCACATTATTGCTGCGCATTTGCTGACCATTAATTTTTAGCCTTTTTTCAAAGTAGGTATTTTTTTAAAAAAAAATAATCATCTATTATGGCCTCCTACTTGTGTTCAGTAGTAAGGTGGAGGTGTTTACTGCTGACCATGTGAAGAAGTAAAGCCCTGCCTTGGGTGTAAGATGCAGTGGGACCTTGTTCTTTAGGCTGCAGTGTTGCTCTATCAGTAAAGTCAATGGGAAGGTGTAAGGGGCATGGCACATTTCTGGTGAAACCAGGCCTTCCTCTGATGTCAAAATCTGAAGATGTACCCTTTGACGTCTGTATTCAACTCAAGCAGAGATAAGCATTTCTTGACTGTTGGCCCCTTTCAAATAAGAAATTCCAGCGTAGTTGCTTATTAAAGCTCCTGTGTGCACCTTTTGGTTCCTCAATCCTGTTGATATTGGAAGCAATATTTAATTAAAGTGAGGTCACAAGTGGGGAAGCCTGAGAAATGGAATTATTTTAGTATTTTTGTTTTGATAGGTCAATGAGAAGTGTTCCTGAACAGGTTTTGCAACTGCTAAGAGCATCTCATTTTAAAAAAAATTGTGAAAAGTCTTGCAACTGCTAGGCAATCAGCCCTAGTTACTGAATGACAGGCCCTGGTGATACTGTCAACTTGGGATCCTCTGAAACTTATTCAGGTCTACTGCAGGCCTGAATTTGAGCATAAATGTATTCTCTAGCACTTCTTAGTGTTTACTGCTGTTGGTATCTCACGACTTGGGTCTGTATTCATGATAAGCCAGCTATGTTGTAGTGCACATGATGACTTGTGTACCATGTGGGTATTCCTGTGGAGTGGTTCTGGGGAATGACATTATTTGCTTTTAAACTGCTGCGTTATTGTTTTTGGATTTGACTGCAGTGCCATGGCTTTTCAGTTGCCGGAGCTATGCAATGTACTGTGTGCTCAGCATCTGTGTTGATGTCTCATTCACTTGCTAGCAGTAGGCCAGAAGGGTGATCAGATCTCTTTTTTTTAAAAAAAAAAGTCCCTTGGTTTGCCTTTGGTGTGTGTATGATTTTTGTCAGGCTTAGCTGTTTTTCATAGTGCTTCATTTGACGTGGGTTGGGTGGCAGGATCCTCCTGCTGCCCTTCAGTAGATTTAAAAAGCTAGATGATTCATTTGACTTAACATTGTGAAAGAGACTTCGTGCAGTCTATTCAAGGAGCACAGTAAAATGAATTCTTATTTTTTTTGGTCTTCATGTTCCAAATTTTATAGTGTCTGATGGTTTTGCATTTTTGGCCACGAAGTGTGTTTTTGTAACAATTAGAACGAAGTTGTTAATGCTTGATCACTCACTGCGATTATTTTTCTATGTATTTTGAAAAGTTCAAGCTATACGAAGATTGAAATTATAATTTTTTTTCAGCTAGGGTGGGAGGGAGGTGCTAAGCTTGGAACTTGTGTACCATTTTTTTTCCTTGAAGAATATATATGATCATCATTCTTTTCCAAATTTTGTTTCTTCTTTATTCCCCCAAATCTCTCTCTTGGATGATGGGAGATAGTTTCATCTATTTGGAATAGGCACCTGTAAGTCAGAAGACTGTGTGCAAGCTGCACACCAGAACTCCAGTACATACCTTGCCCCTTTTTCATCTAACCCTTATGAACGTTGTCTTCAATTCCTTGCTCCTCTGTGTGTATATCTAGCTCTCCCTTTAAATGTTTGTTGTTTGGCTCAACCATTCCCTATACTGAATTTCACATTCAACCATTCTCTGGGTAAAGATGTTTCTCTCTGAATTTCCAGTATAGCTTATAAATAGCCCTCTTTTTGTTTCAATTTTAAAAAGAACCACTTGCAAGTCTCAGCCTTAAACAGGGGAAAGATAAGTTTATTGCAAAAAGTTGAAGGTAACTTTATCTCAGCCGCAAGACTTCTCTGCATTAGTTTCTTGATGTCCTAGATCCAACCTTCAGCTGGTTCACAAATGATCTTACCTCCGTCATGATGTTAGAAGTGGAGATGTTCAGCACCATTCGCAAGTCTTCAGATACTGAAGTGGTCAGTGTCCGTATGCAGCAAGACCTAGACAATTTCCAGACTTGGCCTGACAAGTAACAAGTAACATTGCCTGGCACTTGTTTGGTGCGAATGATAGTCTCCAACGTAAAATCTAAACATTGCTATTGACCAAAAACTGAACTGGGCCAGCTACATACCTATTGTGATTACAAGAGTAGATCACAGTATCTCACTTCCTGTCTCCCCAGTGTCTGAAACAATCACCAGGCACAAGTCAGAAGAGTGATGAAATATTCTTGGAGGAAAGAAGGGTAATACCCAAAATGCTGACTGATCCTTTCTTCCAGATGCTGCCTGGCTTGCTGTGTTCTTCCAACCTCCTATTTGTCTACCTGGATTCCAGCATCTGCAGTCTTTTGTCTCTAATGAAATATTGTTTACTTGCTTTGATATGTACAACTCGAGCAACTCTTCAGCTCAATACCATCCAGAATAAAGCAGCTCATTTGGTTGGTAGTCCATCCATTACCTTCAGCATTCACTGTCTTTATCACCATTTCATAATTGCAGCATTACGTAGCGTCTACATGATCGACTATAGGAATTCATCAAGCAGCTTCCAAACTTGTAACTTCTACTAGGTAGAAGAGGTAGCATGGCAAATGCATGAGAACAACACCATCTGCAAGTTTCTCTCCAAATTGCACACCATCCCGGCTTGGAACTGTATTGTTGCTGTTTCGCTCTTCCTGGGTTAAAATGCTGAAGCTGTCTCTCTACAGGCCAAAGTAAGCAGGGGTTCAAGAAGATGGTTCCCCACCACCTTCCACTATGCAATAAATGCTGGTATAGACAGTGACACCCACATCCCAAGAATGGATGAGGAAAATACTTAATTGCTTGTGATAGTGAGCCTATTGGCAGCAAACATAGGAGAAAAGCAAATTCTGGAGGAACTGCATCTCACCATTTCAATCTATTCTACTCATGGAGGTGACTTTTTTTTTTCCTCAAGCTAATTCAATATTTGAAGGTTCCATTTGCCTTTCACCCCATGTATTTTGAGTCTTGGTGAATACGCAGTTTTCCATCACAGATGCACAAAACAGGAAAATGTTTAACTAGGCAATTACTACTCTTTTTGTACTTCATCTCTGATCTCAATCCCAGATGTACAGCTAACAAGTGGAATCTTAATCTTAAAAGTCCCAATAGTATCCAGTTAATTTTTCTCTGTATAGTGGTTCTTGAACCTAGGCACCCTTTATCTGGAGTTTCCATATTTATTTTCAAGGAATTCATGACTTCAGTGATTCTCAAATTTTCTTGGCTCCCAGTTTACTGAATATTCCTTCATTGATGGGCTTAAAACTGTCCACTCTTCTTTGCAGTCACCTCTTTCCTATTTCTCCATCTCCTCCCTCATCTGCCTTCCAACCACACAAGTCTACTTGCTTACCACCTCCCCCACCTAGCTTTGCAGCTTCCTCCCCCATCTCCCGACATTCACTCACTCAATTTGTTTGTGTGCCTGCCTCCTTCTACACCCACCCTAGCTTGTGTAGACCTCCCTGTGTTTCCTCTTTGCTCGTTACCCTCAACAAAAAGCCTACTCCTAAGGTCTCTGATTCATTTATCATTGCCACTTATTTTTCTGACTGCACATTGCAGCAATCATTAGTGAGCGAAAGTGCAGCAAATGAGAATTACAGACATTTTGTGACTGGAGTAGAAGCACCTCCCCGATTCTGTCTCCACATTCCTTTCTCTTGAGTGTCTTTTATTTTGCTACCCAAATGTACTTTGAGTGCTGTATCTCAGTAGATGGCAGGGGTGCCACGTAGGAAAAACTTGGAATTGGGAAGCTTCATTTTCACCAACATTGTTGGTCCTGTAAAGGATAATTGGAGACTCTGCCTGATCCCAAACACAAGGTGAAATCTTGAGTTTATCTGAGGTGAAAACAGAACAATGGCAGCAACATTCAGGTTGGGCAACATCTTTAGAGAGAGAAACAGACGTAATGTTTCAGGTCAACTAACCTTTAAACTGAACTAGTACATCTGAGCTTTAGCCTAATTTTTTGAACCTTCTGGCACGTTCATGTCTAGCTATGGCAGAAAGTATCCTCTAAGAACTTGGGCCTCGTCTTCGTGCTGAAGTCTGCCTTTCCCACGATACAGGAGAACATGTGAGAATTGTTTTTAGTGACGTTGACTGAACTTTAGGGTCTTGGGCATGGATAGAAACTGTTAAAGCCAAGTTTTACGAGGTTTGGAGTCAGATCTTCGACAAGTTAGCCTTGACTGAAGAGATGTTACTAGGTAACATTTTGGGTGTGAGGATGAAGAAAATGGATTTTTTAGATCAAGACATCCATCAGCCTGAATTTCCTTTCCTCCCCTCCTTTCAGGACATTATTGGGCCAAATTTATCTTGAAAAATGCCTTAATTAAACCTATACTTTGAAGCGATTGAATAACTAGGTTATACTGAGAAACTTTCTCTTTTAGGGGATTGAAACCAGAGGACAAAAGGGGTGGAAGTGGATCTCGAAACTGGGGAGCAGTCAGAGATGATCTGAGGTATGAACTTGTACTGTAATGTTCAGGAGATTAGAGTGGAAATATATATTCAATCTCCATTTTCAATAAATTAGAGAGATTCCCTTCTTTGGAGAGAAGTGTTTTACCTACAGCATTTCTAAAATCCATCTGGCACCAGGGATAAATAATGCACTTAAACTGCACCTTCCCACCCCTTGGTTTTTGTATGGACAAGCTGTTTTTTCCTCTGCTTCTGGCTCATATTAGATGTAGGGGTAAAATAAATTTAAAGAAGCAAGACGTTCCCATCTCCACCTGGTTTATGTATAAACATAGTAAATACTAAATCTGTCCTTCATATTCCTGACATAAATTTTCAGAACTAATTTTAGTTACTGTTATGCTGCATCTGGAACAATAATTTGAAGAGCTGCTGTTATTTTGTGTAATTGTGATGATCCGAGCTTGGTTGATGGTGTGAATACACTACCATAGTTCATGATCTCTGAGGACTAATGGAATATTAAGGGTAGAAATCATACCAATTTATGGAGAGAATGTTCACCTACCGCTTTGGAATGCTGTAATTTCTGTAATCCTGACCTGTATTCTGGTGACCAGGTTGGCTGAATATTTGATGGAGGCATTTGTACCTGAGGTAGCTTGGTAAAGGTGTCCATCCTGCTGAGGAAGTAAATAGAACTGAGAATGACAGTCCGCATTTTGAGGAAACTGTCTCATTCTGAAACAAACTGAAAGAGGTTTCAAAAAACAAGCCCTCTTCCTGAAAAGAGGGCCAATTTTACAAGATTATTTCTGGGTCTAGTTACCTTTTTGACCTCTTCACAGCTTTCGTAAGCCCACACCAGAACTCATTTCCTGTCATCAGCAGGCATTTGTCACACTGGGCATATCCTGGCTAAGTTAGGCAAAATTCTTAGGACTGACCATAAAAATTGCTCTTTGGCATTAGCTTTTTCATCCACTTGGCACAATTTTAAAAATTTTTTTAAAACTGGGATGAAATCTGGAATATCGGTCCTGCCCCAATTTGCAGCTTCTCCTCTCTGAACTCTCATTGTGGTTTCCCTCCACACCCTAGATTGTGCACATTTGACCCTCTGACTTTGTGGCAAATGTTGTTTGGATACTTTTTTTTTTGTTTTTTTTTCTTGAATTCTCTGTCAAAAGGAGGATCTTGACCCACAGTGTCACAGCTTCTGTAACGGGCAGAGCAAGAAATCCTGCATCTGTACCTGCCAGAATGTGGATCAAGCCTTGTGCTTGTTGGCGCCAATCTATTCCATGCTAGCTGCCCATCCTTCCAGCCCCCTCCAAGAGATCCAGGTTGCTGTGGCAACATGCACTTGTAGATGTATGTTTAAAGTGCAGATATGGATAGTGACAGTAAAGGCTCCAATTTTGTTCGATCATAGTTGACAAAGAATCTCTCCTGCTTTACTACTTGTCATTGACATGCTTTGGAAGGATTTGTATGTTAATGCAGCCAGACAGATTGATTATTATGATTGCACCTTCCTTGACCCTTCAAATTCTGAAGTGGGATATAAGCTGAGAAACAGCAAGGTGCAGCAAACATTTGGGAGATATCATAGAGCACCCAGCTGCAATGTATTAATCAGAATTAGAGATGCATGTAACATGGGTAATACAGTAATAATGGTGACTTCAATTTATATAAAACTTGGGAAACCTAATCCACCCCCTTGCTGTGGAGGTTGAATTCCTGGATTGCACATAAGATGCGTTCCTGGAGTAGTATGCTGAAGAATCAACTGGGAATCAAGCTATTTTGGATGTTTCCATTATATAATAGAAGGTCTAATTAATAACATTGCTGGAAAGGAGCCTTTGGGAAAGTGTAACCATAATATGATAGAACTTGACATGAAGTTTGAATATAATCTAGTTCATACTGAAATAAGGCCTTAAATCTGAACAAGGGAAACTGAAGGTATGAGGATTAAGTTGGCAGTGGTGGATTGGGAAGATTTAATGGTAGAAAGGCATTGGCTAGTATTTAAAGAAATGATACATGGTTTATAACAACATGTATTCCTCTAGGGCAAAAACATCAAAGGATAAGGTGATTCAATTATGGCTAACAAAATAAATTAAGATTGCATGAGAGCAAAGTAAGTGGATTGTAAGGATGCCAGAAAGTGTTAAGCCTGATGATTACAGCAATTTAGAATACAGCAAAAGGTGACCAAGAAAATGATAGAGAAAAGAGAATGTGAATGCTAGCTACAAAGAAATGTAAAGATGCCAGTAAAAAGTTGTATAGGTATGTGAAAGGAAAAAATTGGATTGGATAAATGTGGGCCCAATACAGTGAAGACAGGAAGATTTATAGCAGATACAGTAATTGTTTATCTTCCATCTATGGAAGAAGATGCAGAATATCCCAGAAATACTATGCAGTCAAATAACTTGTGCAATTGAGGAACTGAAAGGAATTAGTAAAAAGTTACTATTTGAAAGGTCAACTCGATTGGAAGTCAATAAATTCATTGGAATGGCTGAGCTGCATCCCGGTGTGTTGAAGAAAATGACTGCAGGTATAGCAGATGCATTGGTGCTTACCTTTCAAAATCTGTAGATTCCTGGAGACTGAGAGGTAGCAAATATTATTCCCATTATTTTTAAGAGAAGGAGAATGGAAAACTACATACCTGTTGATTTGATTTTAGAAGTAGGGAAAATGTTTGATTAAAATCAGCATGGATTTATGAAAGGGGAATCATGTTTGATAAACTTGTGCAAGTTTTTTTTTTAGGATGTTACATGTAGACTTGAAAAAAAGGAGAACCCGTGCATATGGTATATTTCAATTTTTGGAAAGCTTTTGAAAAGTTTCTGTATGGGAGGTTAATAAACAAATTGGAGTACATGGGATTGGGAGTAATACACTAGCCGAGATTCAGAATTGGTTAACAGACAGAAAACAAAGTAGGGATAAACAGATCATGCTCAGACTGACAGGCCGTTGCTAGCGAAATACTGCAAGGATCAGCACTAAGTTCATTGCTTTTATAAAATGTTTGAATGTGAGAACCAACTGTTTGCAAGTTTGCTGATGACATTTCATGGGAGTGCGAGTTGTGAGGAGGAAGCTATTGACCTTCAAGTGGACTAAGTGAATGGGCTAGAATGTGGCCAATAGTGTATAATGTGAAAAAGTGTGCAATTATTCAACAAAAATAATCATATTTCTCATGGTCAGAATTTGACGAAACCCTGGTGTGAAAAGGGACCTGGGTATCCTTGTTCACGAGTCACTAAAAGCTAGCATGTTGATGCAGCAGACAATTTGGAAGGCAAGTAGTGTGTTAACCTTCATCACATGGGAATTTTAGTACAGAAATAAAGATGGCTTGCTGAATTAATATGGCAACTTGGCTCACCTGGGGTTTTGGTTACAGTTTTTAGTCACCTGATCTCAAAATGGATATACTTACCATAGAGAGAGTGTGCAATAGAGGTTCACCAGATTAATCATTGGGATGGTGGAACTGTTTAATGAGGAAAGGTTAAGGAACCTGCGCCTGTAGTTTTAGAGTTTCAAAGAATGAGTGGTGATCTCATCGAAATACAAAATTCTTACACAACATGCATATGACTATGATCTTAAAGATTGGATGTAAATAAGATGCTTCTCACTGGTGAACCTAGAAATAGGGAACATAATCTCAGAATAAGGGGTAGGTAATAATCTCCGGATGACTACCCGATCCACACGCCAGTTGGTTTACGGTAAATAAGGATAATAAGAGGTAAATACATAGCTCAAAGATTGGTATGGGAGAAATTGTTCTGAGAGAAATTAGTTCTGATTCACGGGGCATTGGTACCAGTACTGGGGAAAGAGGGAGCTGTTCATTTGGGACAGGCTTTGTTTAGACCACGCTGGGACCAGTGTCCTGGCAAATCATATAACTAGGGTTCCAGATGGGGCTTTATACTAATTAGTTGTGGAAATGTTCAATTGAAAGGACATCTAAGAAAATCAAAAAAAAATTGGAAGTGGAGGGTCGTAAAGAATCTGGTAATAAACTGTGACAAAAAGGAGTTAAAAAGATATGTGCAGAAGAGTGTAGCAAAATTAGATTCCGAATAAATAATGGTTTAAAAAAGTCAAAGGTTCTTGAGGTTCCTTATCTGAATGCATTGTAGCATTTGTGACAAGATAGATGAGTTGACAGCACAAATAGGAATAAGTGAATATGACTTGATAATTCTGTGTGGTTAAAGGGTGAATAAGACTAGAACTCTGTATTCAGGGATATTTGATGTTCCAGAAGAGTAGACAAAACGATGGTGGGGTAGAGTCACACAGCACGGAAACGGACCCTTTGGTCCAACCAGTCCATGCTGAACGTAATCCCGAACTGAACTAGTCCCACCCTCCTGCTCCTGGCCCATATCCCTCAAAACCTTTTCAATTCATGTACTTATCCTAATGTCTTTTAAACATTGTAATTGCACCCATGTCCACCACTTTCTCAGGAAGTTCCTTTCACTCATGAACCACCCTCTGTGTTAAAAGAAAAAAATTTGCCCCTCATGTCTTTTATAAATCTCATTCTTCTCACCTTAAAAATGTGCCCCCTAGCCTTGAAATTCCCCATCCTAGGGAAAAGGCAACAACTGTTAACCCTATTTATACTCATCATTTTATAAACTTCTTTAAGGTTGTCTGTCAACCTCCTATGCTCCAGTGAAAAAAGTCCCAGCCTATCCAGCCTTTCTTTATAACTCAAACCTTCTATGACTGGTAACATCCAGGCTATGACCATCACCAATAAGAGACAATCTAACCACTGCCCTTGACATTCAATGGTGTTACCATCATTGAATCCCCCACTATCAACATCCTGGGGCTTACCATTGACCAGAAACTCGACTGGATTCACCACATTAATAGAGTGGCTACAAGAACAGGTCAGAACCTGGGAATACTGCGGCGAGTAACTCATCTCCTGATTCCTCAAAGCCTGTCCATCATCTGCAAGGCA